TTTAGAAGAATGCAGAGAAGCTTGGTTGACAACCATGGAAGTGAACGTGTGGTAGGAAATTCGTGCTTCTCTTCGAGTAAGGAATGAGATGGAAGCTGAAATTTGGACCCATTTGGTCGACGGGAAATTGTGGGTGGAGAAGCTGGATATTAGGATTTGTGATAGGGGTTGTTGTAACTTGGATCTGTAGTTGTATGTTAGTAGTAGAAGAATGGTTTTTACTGTCTTGGATTTATTGTTTTGATGGCTGTATTTCCCTAATATTAACAAATGAAGTACGTGGTTAACTTAAATTTGCTCAGTGGTATGAATGCCTGGTTCGAATTACCAGTTTAAATAGAAATCCCAAAACTTTTGTTGATGGTGCAGTGTTGGTCCCAAACCTTCTATACTTTGTAGTATTGGGTCCCAAACCTTTGTAAAATTAGTTAGCATAGGTCCCAAACCTTTGTAAAATAGTTCAACAGAGGTCCCAAACCTCTGTCAAAAAAATGGAGCACCTGCTATAAAAACACCAGATTATGCATCAAAAAAATGGAACACCTGCTATCAACACTGCAATTTTCCATTGTCATTAGCAGTTACATTACAATTTTAGTCATTCCCCAAAAACAAAAAAAACCACATTACATTAGTTTGACCATCTTGGAACACTTGGAATATACAAAAGAATGGGAATACTATTTCATCCATTACACCAGTATCAAACACCAAACAAAAGGATAGAACATTAGTTTTTCATCCATTCCCCAAAAACAAAATGAAGCAAGCTAGGAGGACAAAAAAGCTTTCATTTTAATTTGTGTCCTTCCCCTTGGACTTCTTCTTTCCAACAGGTATTTTAGTTGATGTAGACGACCTTTTCTTTTGCTGTGAAGGCTGTGACTGCGAAGGCTGATCTACAGGAAGATTAGCTTTGCAAGTTCTCCTGTTATGACCTACATCCCCACATTTCTTACAAGTCATTTTCATGCCACTCCTACCCATCTTCACTCCAGCAGGGGGTTCATTTTGTGATCTTTTTCTCCGCTTTTTTGGCCTCTCAGCTTGCTTCTTCTTCTCAGGTGGAATCAAAGGACGCTTTCCCAATTCTTGCCATAGTTCTGGTCCTGATATCGGCTGAATAACTGGAGTGTATGACCTCAAATAACTCGTTCTCCAATAACACAATTCAACATAATCTAGGATGCCAATGTTTCTAGATAGCATTCCTGCAATTGCATGCTGACATGGAATGCCTGTTAACTGCCATCTTCTACAAGCACACTCACACCTTATCAAGTCTACACTCCATTTCATTCCATCCCTATTACTAACCTCAAATTTCTCAGGTCCTGTATAGTCAGCTTTCAAATATCTTGCATCTAATTTAGCCTGTTCGATGATCTTCATAATTCTTGGACCAAAAGGTTTATCCCATCTTTCAGCTGCCTCTCTTTTAGCATTCATTATGAGCATTTGCTGATGTCTAATCTTCTCAAGCATTGATATTATTGGCTTCTCTCTAGCAACCAAGATGGATGAGTTGAAAGCCTCGCACAAGTTGTTCAGCAATATGTCACATTTTGAGTGCTCCTGAAAGTGCGATCTACTCCATTAGGATGCTGGTTTTTCACTAAACCATTTAAATGCTTCTTCACTGGCATCTTTTATGTCATTCATCACAGTCCTCCATTCAGGCACTGTGGTTGCCCTCGCTGCAGCCCAAAACATAGTTTTTAGTGTCAAACCCTTGTGGCTAAGAGTGAAATTACTATACAGATGTCTTGCACAGCATCTGTGTTCTGCTCCTTCACACACCGTATTTATAGATTCCACTAACCCCTTTTGTTTATCTGAAATAAATGTCCATTCTCTTGGGTTGTGCATCCCTACATCAACTACAAGCATCTCAAGGAACCAAGTCCAGTTGGTCCTATTTTCAGTATCAACCATAGCCCATGCTAAGGGAAACATACAGTTATCTGCATCAATACCTACAGCCGCCAAAAGCTGCCCCCCTTGTCCAGTTTTCAGAAAACACCCATCCAATCCTATTACATGCCTACACCCAGCCTTAAACCCCTCTTTGCATGCCCCTAAGCAGATATAAACTCGTTTGAAAGTATTATCTTCTTCCTCTAATTGTACTGTACTCCCAGGGTTTGTCCGCTTCAACTCCTCACCGTAGTCCCATAATATTTTGTATTGCTCAGCAACAATACCGTTAACCACTTCAACACACTTTGCCCTGGTCCTATAGAACTGATACTTCGATATCTCATACATGCAATCCTCCTTAACCGTCTCTATGAAACTACCCATTGACATCTTCGGATCAGACCTAAACTTCCGTAGATATTTATCGGCAAGGTACCCAGTATTTACTTTTCGGTTCTGCCACACCATAGTACATGTATGCTCATCCTTAAAGGTGTTTATCCGTAAACTTTTATCTGCCTGTTCATAAGCATACAACTCCCATGGACATCCATCTTGGCACCGTACCCTAACTCTCCTTCCCTCATTCTTCACATAATGTATGTCCCTAGCATTCTTAACTGAGTATTGAATAATGGCCGACCTCAAAATCTTAACATTGTCAAACTTCATACCTGTGACGGGAATGAAAACAAAATCTTAGCATATTATTATTATTTCCCTAATATTAACATCAAGTGCAGGCCTGGATATACACTTGGCAATCCTAGCAAAGATAAATTAGGCACTGAGTAATTTATAGGTACACATATTTCAAAAGCCTTAAGATGATTACCAATTTTAAATTTGGGATCCTCCATATCTGTAGCAGGATTGAACCAGCTTTCTTTCTTGTACCTTATGGATGTTCCTCCATCTTCTTCATCACTGGGCAAACTTCTAAGATCATCTAAGTCGAGATAATCCATTCCAGCATCACTTCCCTCCATTTCCTCATTATCTTGAACGTTGCCTGTGTCACCCCCAATATAAAATCCCTCACTTAGCTTGAAAAATGTGTTGTCGTCATCATTATCCTCGTGTTCTTCTTCATTCTGCTCATAGTCTTGATCAGTGAAGTTCTCTAGTAAACCATCATCAACATCGGCATCTACCCCATCAACATTATCAGTAGGCTGTTCAACAACATTGTCAACAACCTCAGCATTGTCAGCAGCCTGTTCTTCAACACTGTCACCAGCATGTTCGAGAACAAAGTCAGTAGCCTGTTCTTCAACATTGGCAATAGCATCTTCAACAAAAATATTAGCAGCCTGCTCATCTGACCTCATTTGAACACCAGCCTCAACAATATCCACACTTCCCTGATCCACCACCTCCACATCCTCAACAATATCCACAATATCCTCTGCACCCTGTACTACAATTTTCTCAATTGATGGCTCATCCATCATTTGCACACTCCCCCCAACAGTATCCACACTTCCCTGCTCCACCATATTCACATCATTAGCACAGCACAAATTTCAGGAGATGTGAAATACGTAGAATTATTGCCTGAAAATAAAAAACCAAAATCAGGTCTTCAAATACAAAATCAGAACATATACAATCACCTTGACACTCTTTATGTTAACAAAAGCACATCATTTCACTGCCATATGCAAATTTCGAATAAAACCCAAACCCTAATAGCGATGCAAGATAGAAATGCGTTTAAGTACAGGCACCATTTCAAGAACATAATGTCGTCTTTAAAGCACATGGTTCACGCCAAATCACTGAAGATATTGCCATTTTGAAAACATAAAAAAAAAAATAAAAAAAATGATAACTAACCGTCGACTGGGTCGAGGAAGAAGCACGTACGATGGCAAGCAATTTCTGTATCCTCAAAATTTTCAGATTCGTGGTGATCAGTTGTTGAGCGGGAGCCAATGTCGTGTTCTTCTGGTTCACCTTTCAAATGGAATTGAACAGGGAGGGAGAGGTTTTGTTTGGTTGGGTAATGGGGTAGTATAATGGTTGTTTTGACAATTTTGCCTACCAATTAACTTCCCATTTGAGTCAACATCCAGATTTTCCCGTTGACTAACGGAAATTTAGACGGAAGGCTTGATATGGACTAGGCCTGCAACTACATATAAAGGTTTGGGACCGGCGCCGCAAAAATTAAAGGTTTGGGTGTAATCTGCAGTAAAATGAAAGGTTTGGGACTGGCGCCGCAATTTTCCCTAATAATAATAAGGATTTTGATGTTTGTCGCGTCAGTTCCATAACTGTCATTTTCACCTGCATAGCACTAGATAAAACCTCTTGTAGGATGCACCGAATCAAAATCACCAACTCACACTATACTCTCTCTCACTCACAAACGCGCACTTTCTCGTCGCTTTCTCTCTCTAAAATATCTGTAATTCACTCTCCTCAGATATTGGAGACTGTTATTAGGGCATGAATAACGTTATTTATTTTTTATGTTTTCTAACAGAATTGTATTTGTCTAACTTTTTTTTTTTTTTGTAAAATAAGTACTTTTGCGTAATTAATTTCTGTTACTGCCAAATGTTTGAGAGAAATGAAGAAATGGATGATGAATTCGCGAAGCTTATTAGGAGGGTTAATCTACCCAGGTTTTTTTTTTTTTCCTATCATGATTCCTTCTGTTGGCCTGTTTATTTAATTGAGTTCACTGATTTTTTTCTTTAATTAGCCTTTTTTTATAATTAATTGTTTTTCTGTTATTAACGTATAAACTTTTGCTTTCTACCGGCACTATGTTGATTTTCAATTCATTCGTAATTTTGTCAAATTTATTTCTTAGGCAAAAAAAATTTCTGGTTCATTCGAGTTTCACTTCGAGGAATTTTTTTAATTTTAACGCAAATTCCTTCTTTTCCAAAAAAATAAAAATAAATAAATAAATAAATTGAAACTGAAATGCCTCTTGTTCAGTAACGTTGATCAACGTGGTCTTCATTATTTTTATTCCTCATTTTTTGACTGCTGCGAATTTTTGCTCATTCAACGAGGAAGTTCGGTTTTTCTTATGCTGAAAGTAATTTTTGAGTGTCTCCTGAAGTTGGAAGAAATTAATTCATTTTGACTGTAATTTGATTTTCCTTGGAGTTTTAAGAGCTATCTTTTCTTATCTTAGGGTCGTAATTGACAACGATTCATGTGAGGGTTCAACTGTAATCCAGGTATATAACATTGGACTGTCCCATTGATTTCAAGTGATATTTTTTAGTGTCTGGCTTGGAAATTAGGATAAGGTTCTTTCTCGGCCAATTATTTTGGTATTTTATTGTTAAATGATTTTCTTGTCTAGGTTGACAGTGTCAATAAGCATGGAATCCTTCTTGAAGTTGTTCAAGTGCTAACTGATTTGAACCTTGTTGTTACAAAAGCACACATCTCATCTGATGGGGGATGGTTCATGAATGGTATGCATCTTTTGGACTTGCTAAATATATGTATAGCAACATTTTGAAAGCATATATACGTAGAGGACCGGGTTGACTTTGCCGGGCATTTTCTCTAGTTCTTTTTATCTTTGTTTCTTATATCATCTTCTTTGAAATTTGACAGTGTTCAATGTGATTGATCATGAAGGGAAGAAAATAAGAGATGAAGAGGTTATCAACTATATCCAGAGGGTATAATTCCTTTGCAGATTCTTTTCTTCCATCATCGTGATGAAATGTAATACGATATGTCGATTTCTAACATAGAGAATGCAGAAAGATGACTAATGGAGTTCTTGAGTTTGTCGTTGTCACCTTTAAGGCTGAGGGGAAAGGGAAAGGGAAAATTGAGAAATCTTTTCCGGGAATTTTCCTCTTCTTTTTTTTACTAGACATGGCTGAAGTACTTAATTTTAATCCCTGTCGAATCTTTTAACATTTTTGGTTTTTTTTTACTCTCTTGTGGCTGGTTATATTTATACTTTATTTGTTTAATTTTGTTGTAGTTGATGTCTTTCCTATATTTTAATCTCACTAATCTCCTTGTCAATTTACATTTCTTCAGAGACTTGAAAATGCTGATGGCTCAGTACCATCTCAGAGAGGGTCCGTTGGTTTGGTTTCTTCTGAAGAGAGCACATCCATCGAGCTAACAGGAACAGATAGGCCAGGTTTAGTGTCTGAAGTGTGTGCTGTTCTCACTGATCTTCACTGTAATGTGGTGAATGCTGAGATATGGATGCATAACACTAGAGCTGCAGCGGTGGTTCAGGTGACTGATGACACTACGGGGTGTGCAATTGAAGACAGGAAACGTCTTGCTATAATAAAGGAGATGCTTTGCAATGTGCTTAAAGGAAATAATGATCTCAAGACTGCAAAAATGACACTTTCTCCTCCCGGGATAACTCACAGGGAAAGAAGATTACACCAGATTATGTTTGCTGATCGGGATTATGATAAGGTTGAAAGACATGAAGGGACCAGAGTTGATGATAGAAGTTCCAGACCTCATGTAATTGTGTCCGATTGTGCCGAAAGAGATTACACAGTCATTACAATGAAGTCAAAAGACCGACCCAAGCTGTTGTTTGATATTGTCTGCACTCTAACTGACATGCAGTATGTTGTTTTTCACGGAGTAGTACTCACCGGGAGAATGGAAGCATATCAGGTAAAATTTCTTCTCAAAAAATACAAATCCGTGTGTTGAAATTGGACTTCAGTTTTCTACAAAACTGGATCATGCGCGTAACCAGCCGATTGATTTGTATATGCTTATACGTTATAGAATCGGCTTGACATGTAAACTATATGTTGTCCTTTAAATATGTAGGAATACTATATTCGACATGTTGATGGAGTTCCTATAAGCTCAGAAGCTGAGAGAGAACGTGTCATGCTGTGTCTAGCAGCAGCCATTGAAAGGCGAGCCTATGAGGTATGCTTACTGACACAAATTTGCATCACACTGATGCTGGACACTTGTCCCTTCAACTACGAGTTTTTTTATTGTAGTGATATATTGGGCACTCTCGTAATATTCTTACTATGGAGAGGATTTAGTAGGGAACCATTTTTGCGCAAGATAAGTGTAGAAATTAACTTATATCTTCAATATGGTGAAAACTTGGAGCGGCGAATATGTTGGATGTGTGGAGTCTAATATACAATACACTTTTCCCTCGGCTGTGGTTGGACCTAATTCTTGCCTCCTAGATAAAAGGTTAATGAACGAGTCTCCATTCTGTATATCACGCAGTAGAGAGTGAAACAAAGAAAGACATTAGTCTAAAACATGTTGTAATTCTCTTCTTCGATATAGTGCAATTCTGCAGTAGCACCAGGTAAAGTAGGACCCACATTGAGAGTGAAGCATCTTAATTTGTGTTATTCTTGCTTCTTTTGTTTTTTCCTTATTTCATGCTATTAAATATTATTTGTTTAATCCATTCGATAATACATGTAGACGTTACGTTGAGGATTAAGCGCATAAATCTGTGTGTGCTTTGCTCGTTTCAATTGTTTTTCGTTATTATTATCATTGATCTTGAAAGTAAGGTTTAGGGTGTAATCCATTACAGTTTAATGATTATTATGGTCTAAATACATGTTTGTTTGAACAGGGACTGGAATTAGAATTTTGCACTGAGGATAGACTTGGACTTCTATCAGATATTACAAGGATATTAAGGGAAAACAGTTTGTGTATCAAACGAGCAGCAATTTCGACAAAGGGTGGCAAAGCAAGAGGCACTTTCTACGTGACAGATGGGACAGGTAACCCAGTTGATCCTAAGGTACTCGACTCCATTCGCAGACAGATTGGACAAGGTATTTTGCAGGTCAAATGGAACTCAAGTTCAGCAAACCCACAGAACGAGAATACATTTAGCTACCTATTCGGGAGCTTCTTCAAAGCTCTCTTACTCTTAGACTAGTGTGCATACTTCGTAGATAATATGACTTAGGGGAGAAAAACTGTAAATGTTTGTGAATACGTAAGAATAGATATCTGTACTCTCCCATGAATAGTAAACCTGAAAGGACCATATACTGTAAATATAGGAATCATGTAGTCCATGTACATCTTTATGCCTTGTATTGTAAGTAAGATGTGTGACAAGTAAATCTGGTTTGTATGGTACCAAATAATTTGTAATTTTGTAAAGGTACTAAACTATATGCACAGAAGTAAATATATATTTTTTCAAAAAAATAAGAAGAAGTAAATATATATATGTAAATGTACATATTAGTTATTTGTCAGTTAGTAGTGATCGAATTTTCATTTTTTTGCATGTTTAATAAGCAAATTGGATAATAAATAACAGGTGAAGTCTGACTCGACTGAACTCTTTGATACAAGTATTTGCCAGAGACAGGGTTCTTTCATAGGATTCCACTTGGCGTAGTCTGATTGGAAATTGGCAAAAAATAAAAATAAAGACTGCGAATCGTCAAGACACTACCTTTAAAGAAACGATTTTGCTACATGTACACTTAGTTTGACATCATGGATGACATTCTCTGATAAAAAGATATAGATATCCTTCTTCTTATTCTTTAGTCAAATCATGGTTTTATTCCTGATATAGGGTAATTTTGATGTATTTTTCTTAATAAATAGAAAAG